AGGGGGCTCCCCTCGGCCCGTCGCGCTCGGGCCAACGTTCCCTTCCTGGGGAGTATCTTCTAGGTGGGGCCCTTCGCATCTTGCTCCCAGATCCCGCATCTTGCGGTCACGCCTGGCCTGGGACGGCCCGCCGCTCGCATTCTCCCGCCGCCCCGGCCGCGCGCGTGAGGTCGCTGGGGGGCCCCCCGACCCATGGCTGCGGGCCTTTCTTTCGTCGTAGTCGCCCTGGCCGCGCCGGAGCTGCTCGCTGGCCTCTCCCTACTTCGGGGATTCTCCAGGGCTCCCGGGCCCGCGGCTCGCCTTGAGTCTGCCGCCTCTTCTTCCCGCCTGGGGTAGACGGACGCCCGGTCCTCCCCCTCGTTGCGACTCTCCGGGGCCTGCCCATGCCCCCGGGCGTTGGCCCTTCGCGGACTCTTCGCAGGAGTTTGGCCTCCCGCGCCGACTCCTCGCGCCGTCTGGTGACTGGCGATCCGGATTTTCCGTCGCCCGCGCGTCCTGCTCTTCCTCTTCTGGGTCGAGGACTTCTTCAATTACCTCGAAGTGCCGCGCGACGCCCAGGTGTGCGTCCTGGTGCTGGCGCTCTTCTGGCGGCAGTGAGGTCCGCCCGCTGCTCGTCTCTTCCGCCGTCTTTTTCTTTTCGTTTCGCCTTTCTCCTTCTGTGCGCTAATTTAGGCCGTTGCATCGACGCTTCGTTCTGACGGTGCCCGGCGTCTTCCGGTGCGCTTGCTTCCGGCGCGCTTGCGATCAGAAAAAAGTACCCCCGCCAACTTTCTACCCCTTCCAGTCCTCAGTCTGGTCCATCTCGCCACCCTGGCGGCGTGGGCTGCTCGCCCCCGCCTGATGGCACCCGCGGCCCCCCCCCCGGCTTCGTCCTGCCGTCCTCTGGCTGTTCCCTCCCGCCACTTGCGGCGTGGTCTGTTCGCGCCGGCCCTGGCTGCCCCCCCGACGCCCTTCGGTGTCTCGCGATCTGGATCTATTCCGTTGAGCGCCCGCATGCCCAGTCTTTCTTTTGAGACGGTTGCCTGCTGTCATATGTTCCGCGTCCCTTGTCCTGCCTTGGGCTTGCTGTGCGTCGTGGTCGCGGTTGTCAAGGACGTGATTGGTTACCCGAATTACCGCCTGGTGCTGCGCGTCGCCCTGAAGGATTTCCTGGCGTGCGCTCTCCTGTGAGCGGCAGCGAGGCTCGCCTCCTGTTAGCCCCCCCGTGCTGGGTCTTGTCTCTTTTTGCCTTCCTCTTCCCGTGCGCTAATTTAGGCCGTCGCCTCTGTTCTTCGCTCCTTGACGCCGCCCGATCTCTCGCCGCGGTCGCGATCAAAAATCCCCACCAGCCCATCCAGAAACGATGCCCAGGCGAGCTGCCTAGATTGCGGACTTGTAGGAACGATCAGTGGCGCAGAGAGGGGGACGACTGCCGAAAGGAAGCGCGGAACTAGCCTGAGCGTATCCGGGTTTCAACCGTGCATGCCTTCGTGGACCTTTCGGTTTGGGAGCGTCTATGCAGCTTACTCTGGCCATGTTAGGGTTAAGTCGGGTCTGTCCCTCTACAGGAGGAATTTTCAAACATAGTCAAAGGATATTCAGGGAACGATTTTTTTGTTGGGGGGTATTTTTGATTTTCGTCCAGAATCCGCCTGTAGGGGGACATGCCCGACCTAATCTTAGGCCCTTTCGGGGCCATTTCGGAGGTCTTTGGGGCTCTCCTGGGCCCCGCTTTGAGAGTCCTCGTGCGGCCCTCTTGGGGCCTTCGGGGAGCCCTTGAAGGCCCGCTTGGGGCCCTCAGAGAGGCAGGCCATCGATCAAACAAGGGGGCGGCGCACTCACCCGTCGCAACCATCGGCATCGCCTCTTGGGTCCTCTTTGGGCTCGCGGGGGCGTTCTTTGGAGGCTTTTTGGCTTTTTGGAATTGTTTGGGTTTTGAGGCATTGGGCGCGGGCTACCCGGAGCGATCTTGGGCTGTGTTGTGCGATCTTCGATACCGTCTTGAGCTATCTGAAGCCATCTTGGCGCCACCGTGGTCCCAAAACTTGCCAAGGATGTCCCCGATATGCCAATCTATGTCAAACACAATCGGCTTTTCAGCTGTTTTGGCTTTGATCTAACTGGGGGGACTCAACGTCAGCCCCCCCGTCGGAGTCAGACGCATCGCCTCTTTGGGCGCTCTTGGGGCGCTCTGTGGCACTCTTGTGGGTGTCTTGGGGCCCTTTTGGGCCCTTCGGGGGCTCGAATGGGCCATCTTGGAATCATCTTGATGCCTCAGAAGCCGTCGGAAGCGAACAGGCGCGAAGGTCATCGATTTTCCCAAGGTTTTTGAAGAACTTTGGGACTCTCGGGTGCGTCCTCGGGAGGCCCTGTGGCCACTTGGAGTCGTCTTGAGGCGGTCTTGGGGCCTCTTGGAGGCAGAGTGGGGGCTACCTCGAGCCATCTTGGGCTTTCTTGTGCGACCTTGGAGGCCATCTTGGGCTGTGCGGGTCATCTTGGGGCCATCTTGGGCCCTCCAACGACTGGAGACCCCCTCCCAGCCAGACACTGGGGAGGGGGCAGGGGGATTGGTCAAGCTACCCACACGCCAGCAAGCCGTCTAGCTCACTCCCATCCGCCCTCCCAACACATGAGTAGCACCCGAGCCTGAGCATGTTCAGCGGTCGTCTTTGGATGGGCAGCTACTGGCAACCAAAGCCGACCCCAGGGTGCGCGACGCTTCGGCGAGGTGCGCCACGCGTGCAGGGGGCGCCACGCGCGCCAGGCACTCCTGGGGACCGAGCGTGCCAGGCACGCCTGGTGCGCCAGATGCGCCACGTGCTCCGACTGCGCCAGGTATGCCGCGCACTCCAGCCGCGCCAGGTGCACCACGTTCGGGGCACGTGCAGACAGCACACATCGGGAAACATGTCGGCCCCCTGCATCCTTGTCGAAAACCAGTGCCTATCCTTGTGTCTGTCGGGCCTGCGCACAACAGGCCATGCGCCACCGCCCCCGCCATCCCTGTCAAAAATCACTTGACAGTGATCGCGGGATGGCCGCGCATGATCTAGATTTAGCTGCGAGGTGCATTTTTTTTGTCAGGGATGGTAGCCCTCCGCACAGCAGGAAATATGCTGACACCCCCGCCGTCCCTATCAAAAACAGTATAAAATGCTCGCGGGCCTCACGAACATGACTCAAGACTTTGCTGCAAAGCGTACATTGTTTTTTTTGACAGGGATGGTTGGGGGCCGCATCGGGTTGGCCGCGCATGCTCCAAATGTGGAGGCAAGTGTGGGGAGCGGGCCCGCATGGAGTCGGCACTGTTCCGGGTTGGCCGCCGGCCGGGTGGGGGAGGGGGCGTAGAGTAACAATAAACAACAGTGATCAAGACACCCCTCCCAGACGCAAACTATTTGGCTCACTCCCACCTGCCCTGCCAACACATAAGTAGTACCCGAGTTTCAGCGTCGTCAGCGATCGCCTTCGGATGGGCAGCTACTGGGCACACTGGGAGAGCCAGCGGGGTGGGCAGTCGCGCGTACTGCAAGACCTCGCTGCTCCCTGTGTGGTTGCGAGCTGCGCAGCTGAGGAGGAGGAGTAGGAGGAGGAGGAGAAGGAGGAGGAGGAGGAGGAGGAGGAGGAGGAGGAGGAGGAGGAGGAGGGGGGCTGTTATCCCGCGCGCGGAGCTGTTGCATCACAGAGCGCAGAATGCTGGAGCACCGCGTGGCGCGTGGCGCTGTCCTTGACGGCCGATGTCGCCCTTCCGTCCTCGGCTTCCTGCCGCCCGCAGCAGCAACAGCAGCAGGGGTGAACCAAGCAGAAGCAGCACATGGCGATTCTACTCTTACCAGTATTTCTTACCCTTCCTTCTGCACCCTCCTCGTCCTCTCCCCCTGTCTTTCTCCTCCGCTTCTGTCCCCAATTCTATGTTTCTTGTCGCGCTTGTCGTCGCCGCTCCTTTAGCGATCCGAGTCGAGCAGGTGTGCGACGCGGGTGGCCTGACGCTGTTTGGCGGGACGCGTCAGAATGCCGCATGCCTCGCAATGGGTTCTTCTGTATGCGAGGAGCAGGAGGAGGAGGAGGAGGAGGAGGAGGAGGAGGGAGGAGGAGGAGGAGGAGGAGGAGGAGGAGGAGGAGGAGGGGGGGGGATGAGGAGGTGGAGGAGGAGGAGGAGGAGGAGGAGGAGGAGGAGGAGGAGGAGGCCACTCCCCTGGCTTATCGCCACGCATTGAAGAAAGAGTTGGGCACGTCTCGGGTAATTTGCACGCGTGCCGATGGCGCCCGTCCTCGCCGACGCGCCGACGGCTGCGCCGGGGCATGCAGACCGCTCTGTGTCCTGGACGGGGGCGCGCGGGCCCGCGGGCCGGGCCACAGAGGTGCACTCTCCTGGCTCGAGGCTTCCCATGGCCATGCTTCGGCGGCGGGCGAGGTGGTGAGACGTGAGGAGGAGAGGGCCTCTCGGACGCCCTCGGGCCTTCGAGAAGTCTCCCGTGTCCTTCGGGAACGGCTCAGGGGAGCTTCCCGAGAAGGCGAGGGACTCCCGAGCCTTCGGAGGAGGCTCGCCGCCGAGTGCTCCGACTGCAGCCCTGGATGGGGTGGGTGGAGACTCGCGGCAGTGCCGCTTCCGCGGGGCGGGGGCAGCTCGGGCGTAAGTTCCGCGCGGGCGGGCGGTCGCCACCCACCAAAGCACCCCAACCCAGCCCGAAGGCCCCGATTTGCCCTCCATTTCCAGTGGGGGGGGGGTCGGGGAACATCGAACAAAACACATATGAAGCCCGTACCCCCCCCCAACCCGAAACTCGGGTCTTCGGGTTGGGTTGGGGTGGTCTGGTAGGCAGTCAGGCGAGGCGGCGCGCTCGCGGTCCCCCGAGACGACCCCGAGGCGACCTCGGAGGGGGAGGAGGACATGGAGGAGGACGAGGAGGGAGGAGGAGGAGGAGGACAAGTAGGAGGAGGAGGAGGAGGAGGAGGAGGAGGAGGAGGAGGAGGAGGAGGAGGAGGAGGAGCAGGACGAGGACAAGGAGCGCTCCCCGCAGGAGTCCTTCTGCGTCCCCACCAACTGCAACAACGAGGTCGACAGGCAGGCGCTGCTGGGGTGCCCCCGACAGCGCTGCGCTGCGGCTCGCTGCTGCGCGGCCGCGCCGCAGCGAAGGGGTACTGCCACAGTGGCCGCATTGCAGGGCTCGTTTCGAATCCTCCGATTCGATTCGATTCGACTCCGATGGATTCCGATTCCGATTCGATTCGATTTCGGATTTCGATTTGGGCTCCGATTTCTTATTGGACGCATACTAGCCTGCCGATTTCCGCCGATTCGACTTTTCCCGACTCGGCTGCCGATTTCTGCCGATCCGACTTATTTCGATCGCCGATCCGACTTATCGATTCGATTCTGGGCTCCCCTGGCATTGTTGAGCCACAGGCCGCAGAGCGAGTGGGAAGCCGTTGTGAAGGAGTGCTGCCACAGTGGCGGCCAACTTTTCCCATACTGATGTGCCGTTTGGTGCACACGGTCTCCTGCTTGCTTGCTCCACTGCACTCCCCGGCCTTCCTCCCCGCTCCTCCGCAATCTTCCCTCCATCGCACTCCGCGGACCCTCCCCCCCCCCACTGAACCCCATTCTTCCCCACTCCATCGCACTCCTCGGCACTTCTCCGCACTCGCCTCTCCATTGCACTACTCGGCCTTCCTCCCAACTCCTCCCCACTCCTCGGCACTCCTCGGCACTCCTCGGCACTCATCCCCACGCCCCCGCAAACTCCTCCTCCCTCCCCACTCCATCCCGCCCCTCGGCACTCCTCCAGAGTCCTCCACGCTCCATCGTGCTCCCCGGCGCTCTGCGACACACCTTCTCGAGACGCCCCCCCCCACTCCATCGCAGGCCTCGGCACTCCTCCCTCCTCTTCCCCATGCCACCGCACTCTTCGGCACTCATCGTCACTCCTTCTGGACTCTTCCCCATTCCGCAGGGCCCCCCTGCTCCCTCCTCGTTCCTACTGGCCCTTCGCGGCCGTCGTAGGGCCTCCCGTGCCCCCAGTCTTCCCTATGCCTGAGGGGACGCAGTCGTCGAAGGTTTCGGGAGGGAAGGTTTGGGAGGGACGTGAGGCTTCAGAGGTCTTGGAGGAGTGCGGAGCTTTTGGCAGGGATTGGAGGGTTCTGCAGGTCTTGGAGGAGTGCGGAGGGTGTGGAGGGCTAGGAAGTTCAGAGGCTTTGCGAGGAGCGCCGAGGGGTTAGGAGGGCCGGGGGGCTTCCCGTGAGTTTTGCGAGGAGTGCGGAGGTTTTCGGAGGGGTGCGTTGTTTTGGGAGGAGTGCGGAGAGTTTCCGACGGTTCTGTTAGGTTGGCAGCGGAGGTGGCACGAATGCTTCGACTTTTCGTCGCGCCCCCTGCCCACTTCGATCCCAACCGCTCATGGAGAGTGGGTTCGATAGTTTTTCCCCAGTCCTCGCGCTCGCCTGTGAGCGCTCGCGTTCGTGGTCTGCCGGAGCGGCTCTGCCGAAGCGGACGTCTGCCAAAGCGGACGTCTGCCGAAGCGGACGTCCGCCGAAGCGGACGTGTACTTTTTTTGGTAGGCCTCGAAGGATGGCAAGGAGGGGTTAGGGAGGAGGATGGGATGCGAGAGGTGGGGATGGGAGCATGGAGGGACGAGCTAGGGACAGGGAAAGAGTTCAAGGACGCTGATCGGGCGGGCTCGGGCACGCGCTCAGCTCCCTGGCCCAGCGATGTGGGCGAGGTATTTCAACTCAGAGTTTGTCAGCTATCGCGTCGCCAGCTGGCACCTCGACTACAACAGGGCCGCCTCCTCTTCTGCTCTCTGCCTACTGTGCCTTCCGTGTGTGGGAGTGTCGCGCGCTGCCGCCTGCCACGATCGAGTCGATAGTGCTCTTCATTGTATGTTGGTTCCCGCACGTTTCGTGGGGTTCTGGTTTTCTTCCCTACCGCGTCGCACCCGCGTCTCCCTCTTCCCTCTCGTCCTCTTCCTTTCTCCCCTCGTGCACTGGACAGGAGGGCGTCGAAGATGTGGTCCGCCTTGGAATCCGCTCGGAAGGACAGGCTCCACGCGTGTCGCATGCACGGCACGTGCAAGAGACACGCGTCTACATACCGCCGCACGCATGCACATACTCGCACACACAACATACACCATACAACGCTAGTGCACGTTTGACGTCTTCACTGCATCAGGCATCCACGACTCATGCACAACATACTGACGCCCACATGAGACACGCGTCCACATCCAGCCTGGCATCCACATACAATCTGGGTCGGAAAGCGTGGCAAGCGTTGCGCATAGGACCTAGGGTGCGCACACCGTGACTTACGCAAGCAAGCATAGCCTCTTGTCGACACCAGAGGGGGTGCGCAGGGGATGGCCGCGGAGCTCGGCCGCTATGCGCACCTCTCGCCCAGGGCATAGCAGGCGTGACACCGTCTCGATTCTAGAGAGGGTGCGCAGGGGGTGGTTCCTGTGCTCGGCTGCTATGCGCGCCTCTCGTCCAGGACATAGCAGGCGTGACACCTTCTCGACACCAGGGAGGGTGCGCAGGGGGTGGTTCCTGAATTCGGTCGCTATGCGCGCTTCTCGCCCGGGGCATAGCAGGTGTGGTACTTTGTCGACACCAGGGAGTGTGCGCAGGGGATGGCCGCTGAGCTCGGCCGCTATGCGCGCCTCTCGTCCAGGGCATGGCAGGGTTGGCACTTTCTCGACACTAGAAAGACTGCGCAGGGGGTGGTTCCTGAACTCGACCGCTATGCGCGCCTCTCGTCCAGGGCATAGCAGGCGGGGCACTTTCCCGAAACTAGAGAGGGTGCACGGGGGGTGGTCCTTGAGCTCGCCCGCTATGCGCGCCTCTCGTCCAGAATGTAGCAGTTGTGGCATGTTGTCGACACCAGAGAGGGTGCGCGGGGGGGGATTCCCCTGCTCGGCCGCTATGCGCGCGTCTCGTCCAGGGCATAGCAGGCGTGGCATTCTCTCGACACCAGGGAGGGTGCGCAGGGGGCGGCTCCTCAGCCCGGCCGCTGCGCGCGCCTCTCGCCCGGGGCACCGCAGGCGCGGCATTTTCTCGACAACAGGGAAGGCGCGCACAGTGTGGCCGCCGAGCTCGGCCGCTATGCGCGCCTCTCGTCCGAGGCATAGCAAGCGTGAGACCGTCTCGATTCCAGAGAGGGTGCGCAGGGGGGGTGCTATGCGCGCCTCTCGTCCAGGGCATGGCAGGCGCGGCATTTTGTCGACACCACGGAAGGTGTTCAGGGGGTGGTTCCTGAGCTCGGCCGCTATGCGCACCTCTCGTCCCGGGCATAGCATGCGTGGCATTTTGTCGAGACGGGAAAGGGTGCGCAGGGGGTGATTCCTGAATTCGGTCGCTATGCGCGCTTCTCGCCCGGGGCATAGCAGGTGTGGTACTTTGTCGACACCAGGGAGTGTGCGCAGGGGATGGCCGCTGAGCTCGGCCGCTATGCGCGCCTCTCGTCCAGGGTGTAGCAGGCGTGGTACTTTCTCGACACCAGAGAGGGTGCGCAGGGGGTGGCTCCTGAGCTCGGCCGCTATGCGCGCCTGTCGTCCAGGGCATAGCAAGCGTGGCATTTTGTCGACACCAGGGAGGGTGCGCAGGGGGTGGTTCCTGAGCTCGGCCGCTATGCGTACCTCTCGTCCAGGGCATGGCAGGCGCGGCATTTTCTCTACACCAGGGAAGGTGCGCAGGGGGTGTTTTTTGTGCTCGGCCGCTATGCGCGCCTCTCGTCCAGGGTATAGCAGGCGTGGCATGTTGTCGACAACCGAGGGGGTGTGCAGGGGTTGTTCCTGAGCTCTGCCGCTATGCGCGCCTTTCGTCCAGGGCATCGCAGGCAAGGCACTTTCTCGACGCCAGAGGGGCTCGCAGGAGTCGAGGTTCCTGAGCTCGGCCGCTATGCGCGCCTCTCGTCCAGGGCATGGCAGGCGCGGCATTTTGTCGACACCAGGGATGGTGCGCAGAGGGTGGCCGCTGCGCTCGGCCGCTATGTGCGTCTCCCGTCCAGGGCATAGCAGGCGTGACACCGTCTCGATTCCAGAATGGGGGCGTTGGGGGTGGGGTCTCTCAGAGTGTAGGGCGAACGGCAGTTCCTGGAGGCCCCAGGGGTGCACAAGCGGGGGGGGGGGGCGCTATCCTCCTCCTGCTCCTCATCATCGTCATCATCAGTATCATCATCATCAGCATCATCATCACCGAGAGCTGTATACGCCCTGGCTCATGCAGGCTCAGGCAGCTCGATCTGTGAACGCGGGCGACAGCCGGTGACCTTTCGTCCAAGGTAGGTTCCCTGTCATGGCGCCCAAATTCGCCATGACCGCCTTGCCACCCTCGTGCGAGCAGCTCAGGAGCACAATGTTAGAGATGTGCGCCGAGGTGGACCTAGATGGTTTGCGCGCGCATGTTGTCATGCATGGGAACGTTTTGGTGCACAGCGTACTTCATGCTTACCAGCAACATCTTCTGAATTGGTGGCCTGAGACGCTCCTCGGCCGGTACAATTTGCCGCGTCAGCATGGCGACGACGATGCAAGAAGACACAGCTTGATGTGGTACCTGCAATACCCTCTCTCCGGTGAGTTGCCCCGATACGTTTCTGCTCATTTTCCAGGGGGATTGGGGCGTGCGATGGCTTGCCGCCAGCGAAAGTTCGGCGAGCTCGCGAGGCCGGCGTCGCGGGGGGCGACCCAGAATCTCTTTCAGGACCTCGTGGGGTTCTGGTTTTCTTCCCGATGACGAAGACGACGACGAGGGCGACGACGAAGTGCGAGGATGATTGCGACGACTGGTGCGACGAATACGACGACGAGGACGAGGACGAGGACGAGAAGGACGAGGACGACGACGTTGGCAGGGGGGGGGGCGTGCAGCCCTCCCAACCCGCAAAACCAGGAGTGGGGGTCCCGGACCCCCTCTCGCTTCGGGAAAACTATTCGGAGGGTCCAGACCCCCCCCGCCCCTGGGAAACTTAGTTATTCGAGTGTTCCAGAACGCCCCATTCCCCTTCCAGCAACGACGACGAGAACGTCGCCGCCCCTAGCAAACGACACACGTCGCCGCTTTCAGTTTACGACGGACGTCGCCGCCGCCATGAAACAACGCCGACGCCGACCCCGACCCCGACAGCGCCGCCGACGGCGTAGGCGACGCCGACGACGCCAACGACGACGACGACGACTATTACGAAACCAGCGAAGTCGACGACGCGACGACGAGCAGAGTAGAGTAGGCGTGGACACTAGAATCATCAAGTAGAGCAGAGTAGGGTCGAATAGAGTAGGGTGGACGTCGTCGTCGTCGTCGTCGTCGTCGTCGTCGTCGTCGTCGTTGGGAGGGGGTCTGGAGTTCCCGATTTATTTTCTCGCAGGGTGCGTGTGTGTGTGTGTGTGTGACCGTCCGAATAATTTTCCCCCGGGGTGGGGGGGGTCGGACCCCCAGGTTCCGGGGGGGTGAGGTTGCAGTGGGGTTCGGGGGTGCCCTGGTTTCTGCTTGCCACCAGGAGTTTTTCCCAACCCTCCTGCGTTGGGTTCTCGTTTTGAATAGAGCACTGCTCGCGCCTTCCCGCCCCCCCCCCGTCCCTCTTTTCCCCCCTGCCTTCGCTCGGCGCTGCGTGCCAGCTGGGGGGCTGCGATCTGTGAAACTGTCGCCACTTTCGAGGCCTGCTGGGGGGCCCAGCACAGTGGGTACCCACCGCGGCTGGGGGCTGCGATCTGTGAAACTGTCGCCAGTATCGAGGGCTACTGGGGGGCCCAGCACAATGTGCACTCGCGGCGGATTCAAATTAGACCTCGCCATCCCTGGGGGGCTGCGATCTGTGAAACTGTCGCCACTTTCGAGGCCTGCTGGGGGGCCCAGCACAGTGTGCACTCGCGGCGGATTCACATTAGACCTCGCCATCCCTGGGGGGCTGCGATCTGTGAAACTGTCGCCACTTTCGAGGGCTGTTGGGGGGCCCAGCACAGTGTGCACTCGCGGCGGATTCAAATTAGACCTCGCCATCCCTGGGGGGCTGCGATCTGTGAAATTGTCGCCACTTTCGAGGGCTGCTGGGGGGCCCAGCGCAGTCTGCACCCGCGGCGGACTCAAACTAGACCTCGCCATCCCTGGGGGGCTGCGATCTGCGAAACTGTCGCCACTTTCGAGGGCTGTTGGGGGGCCCAGCGCAGTGGGTACACACCGCGGGCTGCGATTTGTGAAACTGTCGCCACTTTCGAGGCCTGCTGGGGGGCCCAGCGCAGTCTGCACCCACGGCGGACTCAAATGGGACCTCGCCATCCCTGGGGGGTTGCGATCTGTGAAACTGTCGCCACTTTCGGGGCCTGCTGGGGGTGCCAGCGCAGTGGGTGCACACGGCGGACTCAAATTGGACCTCGCCATCCCTGGGGGGCTGCGATCTGCGAAACTGTCGCCACTTTCGAGGGCTGCTGGGGGGCCCAGCACAGTGGGTACCCACGGCGGACCCAAATGGGACCTCGCCATCCCTGGGGGGCTGCGATCTGTGAAATTGTCGCCATTTTCGAGGCCTGCTGGGGGGCCCAGCACAGTGGGTACCCACGGCGGATTCAAATGGGACCTCGCCATCCATGGGGGGCTGCGATTTGTGAAACTGTCGCCACTGTCGAGGCCTGCTGGGGGGGCCAGCACAGTGTGCACTCGCGGCGGATTCAAATTAGACCTCGCCATCCCTGGGTGGCTGCGATCTGCGAAACTGTCGCCACTTTCGAGGGCTGCTGGGGGGCCCAGCACAGTGGGTACCCACGGCGGATTCAAATGGGACCTCGCCATCCGTGGGGGGCTGCGATTTGTGAAACTGTCGCCACTTTCGAGGCCTGCTGGGGGCCCAGCACAATGTGCACTCGCGGCGGATTCAAATTAGACCTCGCCATCCCTGGGGGGCTGCGATCTGTGAAACTGTCGCCACTTTCGCGGCTTGCTGGGGGGCCCAGCACAGTGACGCCACACGCAGATTCAAACTAGACCTCGCCATCCGTGGGGGTTTGCGATATGTGAAAATGTCGCCACTTTCGAGGCCTGCTTGCAGGGCCCAGCACAGTGACGCTCCCCAAGTAGCTTACACATCAAGTTGATTGTCCATACAAGTTTCGGCCAACTCGTCGTTTCCATTGATACAAATGGGTTGGGTACGTCACAGGGTAATTAAAGCGGGGGCCCTGGTTTCTGAATTCCACCGAGACGTGTTTCAGGCCAGCGACGGTGGGTCGCACTCCCTCGAGTCTGCCAGCATGGACACAATTCTGCGCTGTCGGGCAGACGCCATCGCTCAAGAGCGAGCGGTCCACGTGCTGCCACGCAGCAGCAGCGCTCATGCCGCCGCGGCGTGAAGCACCCGCAGCCGCCGTTTTTTTTTGTTGTTTTTCCCCCTCTCCTCCGAACGGATGAGTTCATCCCAGCCCGATGTTATCCTCAGGCCGCTTTCGCCTTCGCCGCCCCGCTCTTCGGTAGCAAGTCGTGGGGACCTGGTGTGCTCTCGTGGTTTTGTCTCTGCCGTGCGTTGGCGTCGACTAGCGTCTCGTGATCGGTGAGGTAACGCCGATTTAGCGCCGATCCGCGCCATCAAGCGTCGGCTCAGCGTTGATTGGCGTCGATTCGCAGGAGCCTAACAGATGGTATGGGAGGCCCCCATGAGTTGCCGCTGCACTTGTCGTGTCTCACTACTCATCAAACCACCCCAAGCCAATTCGAAGGTCCCACCTCCGCCCCAATGTCGAGTTGTGGTGTATATGGCTTACATGGTGTTTTCCCACTGTTCCCGGTTGCCCCCAATTGGAAATTGACAGACCCGACGGCGACTTTGGATAGGGTTGGGATGGTTCGGTGGGTAGTCAGTGTCTGGAGGAGGAGGAGGAGGAGGAGGAGGAGAGGAGGAGGAGGAGGAGGAGGAGGAGGAGGAGGAGGAGGAGGAGCTTGAGCTGGAGGAGGAGGAGGAGGAGGAGGAGGAGGAGGAGGAGGGAGGCGGCGGAGGAGGAGGAGGAGGAGGAGGAGCAACAGCAGCAGCGTTGGCCTGGGGCCGCCGTTGCCTCTGGCCGCTGGCAGCGGCCCTCGCCGCCGGCGAGGCCACGCTGGAGTGCCCTGGGAACACCTCCGTAGGCTCCGAGCCCCTGGCAGCTGGGCGGCGTGGGCAGGGAGGTCCTGGGCCTCCCAAGTGGGGTCCGAGGATCTGGGTCTTCGGACGCTCCCGTCGGCCTTCGGCGGCTCTCCAACCCCCCTGGGGTGCCTTCCAGCAGCCGCGCCTCGCCGAGCATGGTCCGGGGGAGGCCCCAGGGTCGTCCGGAGCGGCCGCCGGAGACCCCAGTGATGGCCCGAAAGCGAGGCCTCCCCACTGGGGTCCGAGTAGATGGGGTCGGTGGGTTGCCCCACATCGCCGTTGTATCACGGGTGCCTTTTGTGTCCTCGGAATTCCGTCTTTAGGGTGCATTCGCGTGCGGGGTAGCGTCTGGTAGTTGATGAGGAAGCGCCGATGTCGCGTCGATTTAGCGTCGATTAGCGTCGGCCATCGTCGACTCGCAAGAAATAGCAAGATGGCATGGGAGGCTCCCAGGAGTTGCCACAGAAGGCGATGCGGATCGATGCGGGGCCCGATTGTCTCCACGCCGATGTCGGCGAGGCATTGCTGGTGCCTCGTCGATACATCGCCGACCCATTGCCCACGCGGCGCGATCGTCCAGCCCCACCTCGGACCCCAGTTGGGAGGCCTCCAGTGGCGGAGAGCCACGGACAGGGCTCGACCTGCAGTCGGGGCCCTGAAGAAGGAACCCTTTTCGTTGGGGAGGGGCTCCGCGTTCCTTAAGTGTTTCGCAGCTTGCCTCAGGTTTTCCTTATGTTTTCGATGGGGAATCGAAGTTCAACTTATGGAAAAAAGGGGCCTCGTTCCTTATTTGGGGTTCCTTAGGTCAACGCCCCGACTGTACACGGTGTTCTGGCGATGTCGTGGACCGTTTTCGTTCTGAGTGCGGTCTGGCAGCAGCGGTGGCACGAAAACGGAGCGAGGGGACACGAGACCATAGCGAGAACCGAAGACACCGCTTGGGGTCGAGCCCTGGCCACGGAGGCGTGCAAGCGTGACGGCAGGGGGGCCACTCGAAAGCAGGGCGCCTTGGGTGCGCTCTTGGGGCCATCTTGGAGGACTTCGATCAAACAAGAGGGGAACATTAGTTTGCGTTGCCCCTCGGGAGCCCAATAAGTCGCCTCTTGGGGCGCTCTTGGGGTGCTCTGGGAGCGCTCTTTGGCGCTCTTGGGGCCGTCTTGGGGCTCTCTTGAGCCTCTCTTGGGGCCCTCTTGGGCCATCTTGGAGCCATCTTGAGGCCTTGCATGGCCATCGGAAGCGAAAAGACGAGAAAGCCACAAACATTGACTTTCCCAAGGTTTTGCAAGGATTTTGGCCTCCTCGGGGCCTCCTGGGGGAACTCTTTGGCCACTTGGAGCCGTCTTGGAGCGGTCTTGGGGCCTCTTGGAGCATCGTGGGAGCCATCTTGAGGCATTTTGGGATATCTTGAGCCATCTTGGAGGTTATCTTGGGCTCTCCCAGGCGCTCTTGGAGTCATCTTAATCAGTGCCCCCCCCAGGAGGCCAAAATATGACCAAAACTTTTTAGTACAATCAATGATTGTGGCATTCTCGCCGAGGCCTCTTGGAACGTCTTGGGTGCCTCTGGGAGGCCTCTTGGGGCCTCTTGGGGGTTTCTTGGGGGTCTCGGGGGCCTCCTGGGGGCCTCTTGGGGGCCTCTTGGGGCCTCCTGGCCACCTCTTGGGGCTCTCTTGGGGCACCCTTGGGAGCCTTGGGAGCACTCTTGGGGCCATCTCGGAGGAGATCGATCAAAGAAGGGGGGGTCCTTGATTTTGGGCCCCCTCGCCAGGAGGCCAAAATAGGGCCAACATCTCAGTACAAACAATGATTTTGGCTTCATCGCCGAGGCCGTTTTGCACGCTCCAACTACCCGCGGACCCCCCCGTCCAAGTCCAGGGGAGGGAGTAGGGGGAGGGGTCAAGACACCCTCCAGATAGCAAGCCGTCTAGCTCACTCCCACCCGCCCTCCCACCACATAAGTAACACCCGAGCCTCAGCATGTTCCTTGGTCGTCTTTTGATGGACAGCTGCCGGTAACCAACACCGAGCCCACGTGCGCGAGGCTGGGGCGAGGTGCGCCACGTGTGCCCAGCGCGCCGCGCGCGCCCAGCACCCCTGGGGCCCGAGCGTGCCAGGCACGCCCAGTGCGCCAGATGCTCCCTCCGGCCGCGCCAGGTGCGCCACGTCCGGGGCACGTGCAGACAGTGTCAGGTGCGCCTGCGCACATGACGGCACGCGTCGGAAAACATGTCGGCCCCCACCATCCCGGTCGAAAACCAGTGCCCATCATCGTGTCTGGTGGGCTGGTGCGCAGCAAGCCATACACCACCACCCCGCCGTCCCCGACAAAAACCACTCGACAATGATCGCGGGGTGGCCGCGCACTATTCACATTTAGTCGCAAGGTGCATTTTGTATTGTGTGCTTATCAGTGATGGTTACCCTGCGCGCAGCAGGCAATATGCTGACACCCCCGCCGTCCCTTTCGAAAAACATTACGAAGTGTCCGCGGGCCTCACGAACATGACTTCAGACTTCATCCCAACTTGTACAATGTATTGTTTTTCCCAACCATCCTGTGGTGTTGGGTCCTCGTTTTGAAGAAACGGTCCCCGCGTTCTCCTCTTCTCCTCGTGCCTCCCTCTCCTCCTACCGTCCGCATGCGTCCCCCACACCCAGTACAGCGTTTCGTGGCCCCATAGGGAGCCCCACCGAAGGTCCCAGTGCTACCGTCCGCATGCGTCCCGCACGCCCAGTACAGCGTTTTGTGGCCCTCCTCCCCCTCCTCCCTGCGTTTCACCCACCCAGTACAGCGTTTCGTGGCCCCATAGGGGGCCCCACCGAAGGTCCCAGTGCTACCGTCCGCATGCGTCCCGCACACCCAGTACAGCGTTTCGTGGCCCCATAGGGGGCCCCGCCGAAGGTCCCAGTGCTATCGTCCGCATGCGTCCCGCACGCCCAGTACAGCGTTTCGTGGCCTCCGCATGCGTCCCGCACACCCAGTACAGCGTTTCGTGGCCCTCCTCCACCTCCTCCCTGCGTCTCACCCACCCAGTACAGCGTTTCGTGGCCCCATAGGGAGCCCCACCGAAGGTCCCAGTGCTACCGTCCGCATGCGTCCCGCACGCCCAGTACAGCGTTTCGTGGCCCCATAGGGAGCCCCACCGAAGGTCCCAGCGCTACCGTCCGCATGCGTCCCGCACGCCCAGTACAGCGTTTCGTGGCCCCATAGGGAGCCCCACCGAAGGTCCCAGTGCTACCGTCCGCATGCGTCCCGCACGCCCAGTACAGCGTTTCGTGGCCCTCCTCCCTCTCCTCCCTGCGTTTCACCCACCCATTACAGCGTTTCGTGGCCCCATAGGGAGCCCCACCGAAGGTCCCAGTGCTACCGTCCGCATGCGTCCCGCACGCCCAGTACAGCGTTTCGTGGCCCCATAGGGAGCCCCACCGAAGGTCCCAGTGCTATCGTCCGCATGCGTCCCGCATAACCAGTGCAGCGTTTCGTGGCCCCATGGGGAGCTCCACCGAAGGTCCCAGTGCTACAGTCCGCATGCGTCCCGCACACCCAGTACAGCGTTTCGTGGCCCTCCTCCCTCTCCTCCCTGCGTTTCACCCACCCAGTACAGCGTTTCGTGGCCCCATAGGGAGCCCCACCGAAGGTCCCAGTGCTACCGTCCGCATGCGTCCCGCACGCCCAGTACAGCGTTTCGTGGCCCCATAGGGAGCCCCACCGAAGGTCCCAGCGCTACCGTCCGCATGCGTCCCGCACGCCCAGTACAGCGTTTCGTGGCCCCATAGGGAGCTCCACCGAAGGCCCCAGTGCCCCCGTCCGCATGAGTCCCGGAAGCCCAATTGGGCATTTTCATTCACCCAGTGCAGCGTTTCGTGGCCCCATAGGGGGCTCCACCCAAGGCCCCAGTGCCACCGTCCGTATGCGTCCGGGAAATGTAATTTGGCATTTTCAGCCGCGCAGTGCGGCGTTTCGTGGCCCCATAAGGGGGCTCCACCGAAGCCCCCAGTGGGACCGTCCGCATGCGTCCCGGAAATCCAATTTGGCATTTTCACTCACTCAGTAGAGCGCTTCGTGGCCCCATAGGGAGCTCCACCGAAGCCCTCAGTGCGACCCACCGCATGGGTCCCGCAAACCCAATTCGGCACACCACCCACACAGTACAGCGTTCCCCCCCGCCCAGTGCAGCGCTTCGTGGCCCCATAGGGAGCTTCACCGAAGCAGATATTCACAATTACGGTACTCACAACTGCATATGGTTGCGACCTTCGCCAGGATAATTTTGCCAGGGATGGTGGGGGGGCCCGCATCGGGTTGGTTGCGCATGCTTCGAATTTGGAGGCCGAGTGCGTTTTGTATTGCTTTTTGACAGGGATGGTGGGGGGGTGCCCTCATGGTGTGCGCATGGTTCCGGGTCGGCTGCCGGCCAGGTTTGGGAGAGGGTGTTTATTAACAGGGAGCAGTGACACGACATACGCATGTCTCTGCAATCCACATTTGTTGCACCTCTCGTTCACGAACACCCGAATGATGGAAGACACAGGGGGAAGTGGTGGGAACAAACATGGAGATGTCGCAGGGAGGAGGAAGGGAGGGACAGCGAGGGGGGCGCGAGGGGGAGAACTGGAAATAAGGGATGTGATAGGGGACGCGTTGAAGGGAAGAAAAAGGTAGAAAAGGGGAAGTGGGGATAGGGACGGCGGAGACGATTCTTTAATCGCTTCGCTCATTCCGCCGGCCCTGGAGCGCTATTTGGGGCCTCTTGGGGCCGTCTTGGGGGCTTCTTGGGGGCTTTTTGGGAGCGTCTTGGGGCTCCCTGGCGGCGTATTGGGCTCCCCTGGGGCCTCTTGGGGGGCTCTTGGGGGTCCCTTGGGGCGGGAGGGGGGGGTAGTCGATTGCAGCCCCCCCCTCGGAGGCCACGATCCTCGTGAGGGGTGGCGAAAAATAGCCTCCCCCCTGGGGATCGCCCGGGGACCAGCCGGGGATCGGCCGGGGTACTTTCGCCCGGGGCCCCCCAGGGGCCTCCCCGCGCGCGCGACCTAGAAATATTGTTAAGTAGTTACCGGTGATAGGGGACGCGTTGAAGGGAAGAAAAAGGTAGAAAAGGGGAAATGGGGATAGGGACGGCGGAGACGATTTTTGGGAAGGAGAGGCAGAGGGACATTGAAAGAGAGGAGGACGGGGGGAGAGAGAGAGAGGAGGGAGAGGAAGCAGAGAGCTGACGGGAGGGAGAGGGGAATTGGGGATGGAGCGCAGGGAACGGGACGATGGGGATGGAGGGGGAGGAGAGGGAGGGAGGGAGGGGAGGAGGGAGAGAGCAGTGAGGGCGGAAGAGATGTACTGTCCACCTCGTTGCACCTGCCCCTCCCCGCCTCCTCCCATTACCCCATTGACCCCCGCTCCCTCCCCCCTTTCTCTCCCGCCCCCCTCCCGCCCTATGCCTCTCCTCTTCCTTGTCCTCCTCCTCCTCCTCCTCCTCCTCCTCCTCCTCCTCCCCTTCCTCCTCCCCTCGCGGTCGCCCGCGCCCCGCAGTGGTCGCCATCGTGATCGTCCTCTTCTTCGCGTGCTGGCGCGCCCTTGGGCCTGACAGCGCTGGGGCTCGCGGAGGGGGGGCTGGTGGCACAGACTGCTGGGAGTGGCCGGGCGAAGAGCTCTGGGGCGTGTCCCAGTGCGACTGGAGAATCCCACCAGCCCTTTGGGGCGTAGGTGGTCTAGGGAGCTTCCTCTTCCAACCCCCTTCTTCCCCTTCGGGGAGGGGCTTATCATTTGTCCTTATTAATAAAAAGAAGACCCTCCCCCACATGGCCAGCAGCCAATCCGTAACCTTGTGCCCCCCCCAACCATCCCTGCCAAAAAAACAATACAAACAGCAATGCAGAATGCACATTGCGGGGCCCACCCTGCCAACACCCTCCACAATCCCTTTCAAAAAACATACGAAGTGCACATTGCAGCAACATCTGGACAGTGTGCTGGCGCCCTGTGAGCAGGTTGTATTTCCCAACCATCCTGTGGTGTTGGGTCCTCGTTTTGAAGAAACGGCCCCCGCGTTCTCCCCTCCTCCTCTGCCCCCTCCTCCTCTCCACCGTCCGCATGCGTCCCGCACACCCATTACAGCGTTTCGTGGCCCCATAGGGAGCCCCACCGAAGGTCCCAGCGCTACCGTCCGCATGCGTCCCGCACACACAGTACAGCGTTTCCGTGACTCTCCTCCCCCTCCTCCCTGCGTTTCACCCACCCAGTACAGCGTGGCCCCATAGGGAGCCCCACCGAAGGTCCCAGTGCTACCGTCCGCATGCGTCCCGCACACCCAATACAGCGTTTCGTGGCCCCATAGGGAGCCCCACCGAAGGTCCCAGTGCTACCGTCCGCATGCGTCCCGCACACCCAGTACAGCGTTTCGTGGCCCTCCTTCCCCCCCTCCCTGCGTTTCACCCACCCAGTACAGCGTTTCGTGGCCCCATAGGGAGCCCCACCGAAGGTCCCAGTGCTACCGTCCGCATGCGTCCCGCACATCCAGTACAGCGTTTCGTGGCCCCATAGGGAGCTCCACCGAAGGTCCCAGAGCTGCCGTCCGCATCCGTCCCGTACACCCAGTCCAGCGTTTCGTGGCCCTCCTCCCCTCCTCCCTGCGTTTCACCCACGCAGTACAGCGTTTCGTGGCCCCATGGGGAGCCCCACAGAAGGTCCCAGTGCTACCTTCCGCATGTGTCCCGCACACCCAATGCAGCGTTTCGTGGCCCCATGGGGAGTTCCACCGGAGGTCCCAGTGCTACCGTCCGCATGCGTCCCGCACACCCAGTACGGCGTTTCGTGGTCCCATAGGGAGCTCCACCGAAGGTCCCAGTGCTACCGTCCGCATGCGTCCCGCACACCCAGTACAGCGTTTCGTGGCCCTCCTTCCCCTCCTGCCTGCGTTTCGCCCACCCAGTACAGCGTTTCGTGGCCCCATAGGGAGCCCCACCGAAGGTCCCAGTGCTACCGTCCGCATGCGTCCCGCACGCCCAATACAGCGTTTCGTGGCTCCATAGGGAGCTCCACCGAAGGTCCCAGTGCTGCCGTCCGCATGCGTCCCGCACACCCAGTACAGCGTTTCCGTGACTCTCCTCTCTCTCCTCCCTGCGTTTCACCCACCCAGTACAGCGTTTCGTGGCCCCATAGGGAGCCCTACCGAAGGTCCCAGTGCTACCGTCCGCATGCGTCCCGCACATCCAGTACAGCGTTTCGTGGCCCCATAGGGAGCCCCACCGAAGGTCCCAGTGCTACCGTCCGCATGCGTCCCGCACACCCAGTACAGCGTTACGTGGCCCCATAGGGAGCTCCACTAAAGGCCCCAGTGCCCCCGTCCGCATGTGCCCCGGAAGCCCAATTTGGTATTTTCACCCACCTAGTGCAGCGTTTCGTGGCCCCATAGGGGGTTCCACCCAAGGCCCCAGTGCCACCGTCCGTTTGCGTCCGGGAAATGTAATTTGGCATTTTCCCTTGCGGAATTGCAGCGTTTTGTGGCCCCATAGGGCGCTCCACCGAAGCCCCCAGTGGGACCGTCCGCATGCGTCCCGGAAACCCAATTTGGCATTTTCACTCAGTCAGTAGAGCGCTTCGTGGCCCCATGGGGAGCTCCACCGAAGCCCTCAGTGGGACCGTCCGCATACGTCCCAGAAACCCAATTCGGCACACCACCCACACATTACAGCGTGCCCCCCCGCCCAGTGCAGCGCTTCGTGGCCCCATAGGGAGCTTCACCGAAGCAGGTATTCACAATTACGGTACCCACAACTGCATATGGTTGGGACCTTCGCCAGGATAATGTTTTTGTGACAGGGATGGCGGGCCACCCTCAGTGAAGCCGCTTTGTGCAGGACCACCATCCGTGTCAAAAACAATGCAAAGTGCACGTTGCGACAACGTGGTGGGTATTGTGCTTGCCGCCCGCGATCACTTTGTATTGTTACCTAACAGCGAAGACTGATAAGTTTCTAGTGGGGTCAAAAGAGAGCATCCTGATTCCCCAGGGGGGTCTGGGCAGGATCCAGGGGATGCCGGGGAAAACCGGGGACTCCCCAGAACCCTGTCCCAGGCCACATTTTGACTGCCTGGAGCCAACAGAACACCATTCCCAGGCCACATTTTGAATGCCCGGAGCCAACTGTAGGCCACTTCGTGTTCTTCGTGTTCCCAGAACAGCATTCCCAGGCCACATTTTGAATGCCTGGAGCTAATTGTAAGCCACTTCGTGTTCTTCGTGTTCCCAGAACATTTTTCCCAGGCCACATTTTGAATGCCCAGAGCCAACTGTAGGCCACTTCGTGTTCTTCGTGTTCCCAGAACACCATTCCCAGGCCAAATTTTGATTGCCCGGAGCTAAATGTAGGCCACTTCGTGTTCTTCGTGTTCCCAAAACACCATTCCTGTACCATATTTTGATTGCCCGGAGCCAAATGTGGGCCTCTTCGTGATCTTCGTGTTCCCAGATAACCAGTCCTGTGCCATATTTTGAATGCCCGAGCTGAGGCAGGCTGAGGCCGAGGCAGGTTGAGGCAGAGGCAGGCTGAGGCTGAGGCTGAGGCAAGCCGAGGCAAGCTGAGGCTGAGGCTGAGGCAGGCTGAGGCTGAGGCAGGCTGAGGCTGAGGCAGGCTGAGGCTGAGGCCGAGGCAGGTTGAGGCTGAGGCTGAGGCAGGCTGAGGATGAGGCAGGCTGAGACTGAGGCTGAGGCAGGCTGAGGCTGAGGCTAAGGCTGATGCAGGCTGAGGCTGAGAGGCTGACGCTGAGGCTGAGGCAGGCTGAGGCTGAGGCTGAGGCCGAGGCAGGCTGAGGCTGAGGCTGAGGCAGGCTGAGGCTGAGGCAGGCTGAGATTGAGGCTGAGGCAGGCTGAGGCTGAGGCTGAGGCTGAGGCTGAGACTGAGGCTGAGGCTGAGAGGCTGACGCTAAGGCCGAGGCAGGCTGAGGCTGAGGCTGAGGCCGAGGCAGGCTGAGGCTGAGGCTGAAGCTGAGGCAGGCTGAGGCTGAGGCTGAGGCTGTGGCTGAGGCTGAGGCAAGCTGCGGCTGAGGCAGGCTGAGGCTGAGGCTGATGCAGGCTGAGGCTGAGGCAGGCTGAGGCTGACGCTGAGGCTGAGGCAGGCTGAGGCTGAGGCTGAGGCCGAGGCAGGCTCAGGCTGAGGCCGAGGCAAGCCGAGGCAGGGTGAGGCTGAGACTGAGGCTGAGGCTGAGGATGAGGCCGAGGCAGACCGAAGCTGAGACAAGGTGAGGCTGAATGGGGGGGGGGAAGGGGGGGAGGAGTGGAGGCTGAGGCAGGCTGAGGCCGAGGCAGGCTGAGGCTGAGGCCGAGGCAGGCTGAGGCTGAGGCTGAGGCAAGCCGAGGCAGGCTGAGGCTGAGGCTGAGGCTGAGGCAGGCTGAGGCTGAGGCTGAGGCTGAGGCCGAGGCAGGCTGAGGCTGAGGCTGAGGCAGGCTGAGGCTGAGGCAGGCTGAGACTGAGGCTGAGGCAGGCTGAGGCTGAGGCTGAGGCTGATGCAGGTTGAGGCTGAGAGGCTGACGCTGAGGCTGAGGCAGGCTGAGGCTGAGGCTGAGACCGAGGCAGGCTGAGGCTGAGGCTGAGGCAGGCTGAGGCTGAAGCAGGCTGAGATTGAGGCTGAGGCAGGCTGAGGCTGAGGCTGAGGCTGAGGCAGGCTGAGGCTGAGGCAGGGTGAGGCTGAGGCAGGCTGGGGCTGAGGCCGAGGCAGGCTGAGGCTGAGGCGGAGGCAGGCTGAGGCTGAGGCAGGCTGAGACTGAGGCTGAGGCAGGCTGAGGCTGAGGCTGAGGCTGATGCAGGTTGAGGCTGAGAGGCTGACGCTGAGGCTGAGGCAGGCTGAGGCTGAGGCTGAGACCGAGGCAGGCTGAGGCTGAGGCTGAGGCAGGCTGAGGCTGAAGCAGGCTGAGATTGAGGCTGAGGCAGGCTGAGGCTGAGGCTGAGGCTGAGGCTGAGACCGAGGCTGAGGCTGAGAGGCTGACGCTGAGGCAGGCCGAGGCTGAGGCTGATGCAGGCTGAGGCTGAGGCAGGCTGAGGCTGAGGCGGAGGCTGAGGCTGAGGCAGGCTGAGGCTGAGGCTGAGGCCGAGGCAGGCTGAGGCTGCGGCCGAGGCAAGCCGAGGCAGGCTGAGGCTGAGACTGAGGCTGAGGCTGAGGATGAGGCCGAGGCAGGCCGAAGGTGAGACAAGGTGAGGCTGAATGGGGGGGGGGAGGGGAGGGAGGAGGGGAGGCCGAGGCAGGCTGAAGCCGAGGCAGGCTGAGGCCGAGGCAGGCTGAGGCTGAGGCTGAGGCAAGCCGAGGCAGGCTGAGGCCGAGGCAGAGGCTGAGGCTGAGGCAGGCTGAGGCTGAGGCAGGCTGAGGCTGAGGCTGACGCAAGCTGAGGCCGAGGCAGGCTGAGGCTGAGGCTGAGGCTGAGGCAGGCTGAGGCTGAGGCCGAGGCAGGCTGAGGCTGAGGCTGAGGCAAGCCGAGGCAGGCTGAGACTGAGGCCGCAACTGATGCAGGCTGAGGCATCCGTAGGAATCCATAGGAATCCCTAGGAATCCATAGGAATCATTAGGAATCCGTAG